TTTTTTTCGATGAAAATTTTAATTCGAACTTTTTTTAAATACAATGTCTGAAAAAAAAGATAGGTATTTTTTTAATTCAAACCGAATTTTACCCAATAATAAAAATAAATTACCAAAATTGTTCCTCATTTATAGGACGAAAACTTGAAAATATCTAGGGAGAGGTGTTTATGGAAATTTTTGTACATAGAAACATGATAGATAAAAATAGATAGATAGATAGATAAATATAAAAAAAAAAATTGTGAAAAATATGTATATTGACAGATATGTATTTTAGTTGTCATACATGATATGTGTGCCTGGTGACTATTAGCAAATTATTGTTTTGTTGTTTTTATTGTAAAATTCGTTAGTCGTGCAATTACTTGAAAGGGCACTTTTAGAAATTATTATTCAAGTTATTTTATTGATATTAAATTGATTATTGATTAGATTACGATTTTCATTTTTTCCCCAAAATATAAGTTGCTTTTTGATTACGGGGACCTCTAAAAATTATGAAGTGTTGAAGGACTTTTTGAGAGATTTAAAATGACAAAGAAAAAAAATATAGATATAGACACAAATAGATTTTTTTTTGGAATTTTGAGATGAATAGAGTTAGATAGATAGATTTGAATATACTGAGATAGATATATATTATTTAAAAAATAGATATAGATAGATAGATAGATAGATATGAATATATGAAGATAGACAGATTTAGGTTAGATAGATAAATAAATAATGAATAGACTGAAGATAAACAGATGAAAAATTAATAGATCTAGATAAATAAATAGATATTTATATATATATAGATATAGATAATGATGTGTTTGATAGTTTATAGATAGATTCATAGATGAAATAGATAAAATGTTAGATGGATAGATAGATAGATAAAAAAAAAACTTTTTTATAAATATTCATATTTAAAGCGAATAAATTTATTTTATATTATTAATAAAAATTAATAATTAAATTTAATACAAATTTAATTAATTCATAAAAAATAAATAGTTATTTATTTAAAAAAAATATGATTCCATTATTAACAATGAAGATTAAGAATTTTCAAATATTAAATTTAAATTAAAATTTCAATATTAATTAAGTCAGAAAATTAAATTTTTTTAAATAAATATTTATTTATGGGTCATTTAAAGCGAAAAATTGAAAAAGAATTGTAAAAATTTTTTAAACCTATTTTTTTAAATATATATATATATATATATACATATTGATTTTATATTATATATATGGACGGTTGGATTTGTTAAATTTAATTTTTTTGGTTCATTATACAAATTTTTTAAATATTTTATATATATATATATATATATTTATATATATATATATATATTAGCTATGTTGAGGTTTTTATAAGTTTGAATAATGTATATTTTATATATATATATATATATATATATATATATATATATATATATATATATATATATATATATATATATATATGAATATAGCAAACAAAAAAATATTAAAAAATTAAAATCTTTAGACACACTGGGTTGTAGATTAATATTCTTTATTTTTTTTTTTTATTATTATTTCATTTAGATTCTTCGACTAGTTTCGACCAAAATGGCCATCATCAGGAGAAAAAAAATATTTCTGCTTGCTGGTAGCAGTAAACTACAGAAATTAATCTTTTGATGGAGAAAATGAACTTTTGTCTGTAGTTTTCATTTGTTTTTTTTTTTTTATTTTTTTAACATGAAATTTTTAACCATTCCTTGTGTTGGTCAAACAGTCTCTTTTAAGTTGTTATTTGAGATAAGAGCTGGATAGATACATGCTGCTCTGAATTCTCTGGTCAGTTTGACAGTTTTATTGGACCTGGTGAGGGGATGTGTCTCTCTGTTTAGTGTTTGTGTGTGTGTTATTTGGTTCTTAAAAAAGAGTGGGTATGATATGTGTATGGCAACAATATTATATGTGGATGAATGTTATCATTTTGGCTCATTAGGGATTGAGTGGCGAGTATGATGTGTGTAAGCATGTGTATATTATATACTTGTATATATATGTGTATAAGATTTCATTGAGGCCTGTTCACCTCCAGGTAAGCATGTCTGTCTTGTGTGGGTGAGAAATATGGGTAGGTTTTGATTTATATAGTTATATATATATATATATATCTATATTATTAAATTTATGGTAAATTCCATTTTGGCAATTTATTTTGTTTTTAGACGTTGTATCCAATTATTTTCAAAAAAAAAAAAAAATCTTTTAATATATATATATATATATATATATATATATATATATATATATATATATATATATATATATATATAGATATGTAGATACTAAAAAGGTCATAGTTTCAATTTAAATTATATTCCAATCGGATATTAGTAGCACTGATGAGCTGTGATGAATTGCTCAATATGTGAGTGTGGAATAATTAAAATATGAAAATAGTCTAAATGGAATTTAGGATCGTATTTATATATTGAGCGCTTAATATATATATATATATATATATATATATATATATATAACTATTTGTATTAGAAATTTTTCTATTAATATAACATATAAATATACAAGGTAAAAAAAAAAGTTCTGTCTATTTTTTGATTAGTCATTGAATGAATATTATAAATATATATATATAAATATATGTATATAATTGTTTTCAAATTCGGACAGCTGGAAGTAGGAACATCAGACGTTATAAAAAACACGCGCACCGTGCCGGCCATCAGTTATAATTTGGACATCTGTGAGAAGGATGGAAGTGTCTAGAGATCTCGTTCGGGGCTGTTTGATTTACGACTTCAAAGTGGGCTTATCAGCAGCTGCATCAAGTCGCCGCATATGTCAAGCGTTTGGGGATAGTGCTGTGGATGAACGTACTGCAAGGCGTTGGTTTCGAAAAATTCAAGTCGGGAGATTTGTCTCTCCATGATGAGCCTCGCAGTGGATGACCACAGGTCTTGAATGACGGAGTCCTGAAGGCGACCATTGAAGAGGACAGTAGTTTAATGTGTAGTGAACAAGACAATTCAACGTTTCCGATGAAACAGACTTCACCTGCATCACCTAGGTAAGACGTACAAACTGAGCAAGTGGGTTCCGCAAATGCTGTTGGAGGTCCACAAGGGACAACGAGTGGCAGCCTGCGTATTGCTGCTTTCTCGCCACCGTACCACATCCTTATTCAATCGAGTGCTTACCAGTGATGAAAAGTGGGTTCTGTACGAAACTCCCAAGCGTTCCAGACATTGGTTGTCTCCTCAGGATGCTGTCCCTCACACCGCAAGACCGTCAATGCACACACGCACGATTATGCTTTGTGTCTGGTGGACAGGTCGTCAAGTGGTTCATTATGAATTGGTACTAACGGGCCAAACGGTCACTGGAGACTTATACTCGCAGCAATTAAAACGTGTGCAACAGGCATTGCGCCAGAAGGATCCAGCACTGGTGAATCGCATGACAATGCCAGGCCACATGTCGCGCGAGTGGTCAGGGATACCATACAGCAACTTGGGTGGGAGACTTTGTGCCATCCAACTTATTCACCTGACCTTGCTCCATCCGATTCAACACTTCTTATCTCAACCCTTTTTAAGTTTATATAAAATATATATATATATATATATATATATATATATATATATATATATATATTTTGTCACCCCATCGAGTTCTCGTGTCATAAAACAGTGGCTCACGTTAATAAAATAGAATTAATGGCGATATCTTAATAAATCTAATATTATCCCTGTGAAACGTTATATTTTTCTTATATACGGACATATATATTTGTAAAAAAAAGAGGATAGAATCCACTTAGAACTCAATGTCAAGGACAGATTTGTGATGAGTTTGAATTAATGTGATTACGATTACAATGTAATAAATTATAACCATGGATTTATTAGTGTTGGGTAGCCAATATATATATATATATATATTTCTTCTTTTTTTAAAGCGTTTTTAAATAAAATTTGAATGTTTTTTTGGGTACAATTTAAAAAAATTCATATTAAAAAGCAAATGAACAAATATGTGGAAATTTTACAAAATGAATATTAGATATTTTTTTTAATCCTTTTTATTGCCATTTTTAATCCAAACCTCGCTATGGTTACCTCTATATAATGAACTTCAGCACAAAAGACTTTATTCCATTTGCTGTATATTTTCACTATTGGTAATACCTCATCAATATATGGTAACAACATTAATAATCTTTTGCTTTAAGGTCACAAAAAAAAATATTTATCGAAACAAGATATCTTTAAAATAACATAATAGAAATTTTAGCAAACTTTTATTAATTTATGAACGATGTGGTCAGTTACTAAAGGTCATCCCTTCCCTTCAACTATTTTGGAAATATTTTTATTTAACACCTCTTTCATCAACTGGATGCCGGAAATACACAAATGCCATATGATTCAATGTTCTTAAATTAACTACTTTATATAAACATTTCTGATTAAGATATCTAAATGTTTGCCTTTGTAATATATTTTTTAAATAAATTTTAACAAAATTTTATAGACACCCTGTATTTATAAGGAAACAGTTTTGACAGGGACAGTGAGACAGGAACATCCGTAGACGTGTTGGGACTGAAAGACTTTCCAAACAGAGAGAGACAGGACAGACAGACGATTTCTTTTTTAACAGGGAAAAAAGACAGGGACATGTTACGGGGACAGAGAGACAGGGACAGAGAGACAGGGACAGAGAGAGACAGGGACAGAGAGACAGGGACAGAGAGAGACAGGGACTGAGAGACAGGGACAGAGAGACAGGGACAGAGAGACGGGGACAGAGAGAGACAGGGACTTATTGTGAGAAGGGACAGAGAGAGAGAGGGACTGAGAGACAGGGACAAAGAGATAGGGACAGAGAAACATACAGGGAGAGAGAGACAGGGACAGAGAGACAGGGACAGAGAGAGACAGGACAGAGAGAGAGGGACTGAGAGACAGAGAGACAGGAACAGAGAGACAGGGACAGAGAGAGACAGGGACAGAGAGAGACAGATTTCAGACAGAAAATTATGGGGACAGAGAGAGGGACAGAAAACATGGACAAAGAATTGGGGGACATAGAGACATGACACAGACAGGGACGTCCTGAGAGAGGGACAGAGAAATTACAAAAAAAAAAAGATTGGGGATCTTTAACAGGTCTTGAGAGAGACAGGTAACAGAGAGACAGGGACATTTCTCAAGAGACAACTTAACCAAACAGGGACAGAGAGACAGGGACTGAGTTGACTTAGAAAGAGAAACAGGAACAGAGAGATTGGGACAGAGAGAGAAACAGGGACAAATTTTCAGACAGGGACAGATGAGACACAGTTTTTTGCGCAAGAATTAGAAATAGCAATTTTACTCCCGTATTTTTAACGCCAAGAAATGCAACCTTTTTCACATTTCTGTTAGTTAATTCTCATCTGCAACGACTTCAAAACATTTAAGATGGAAATTCACCCAAAATGTTTCTTATTGTTTTCTTGCAGAAATTTAAACTTCACTGTCATTAAAGGTCCAAATAAAAATATGTTTTTTACAGAACGAACCGTAAGTTTTCTGTTCTTAACTTTCCGAAATGAAGACGAAATAATTATCACTGGATTTCATTTACAAAAAATTAAAATCATCTGCATAAATAAAAATCTAATAACAAAGAATTCCTACTAAAATGTCAAGAAACAGTTAATTTGAATAATTTTTTAATTTTAAAAGATTCATATCAAAAATTGGGTTATTTAAACAATTTTTCTCAAGTAGTGTTTTATCAAGAATCTACCAAATATTAGAAATTTCAACGGTGTTTTAGTTGCGCAACGAAAATTGTTAATCGAATAAAAAAAACTGTAGATTTTTTAAGACAACCTGAAATAATTTGAACAATATAACAATTATGAATTTTAAACGAAACTAATCTCTTTTATTCATCTGATAGAAGTCTTTTTGCTTACTATCATGTTCATGGCTGATGCAAATTAAATTCAAAATGTATAAACATTTATAAATCCTTCTCAGGATAAAGGTTTCCGCTGAATTTTGATCTAAAATTATTATCAAAATCAATTGCCACGTCTTCTGCTCGAAAGATTGGTTCCCTGCGCTGTTGTAGACAGTTCTTCTCGCCAGAATCTATCTGACATATTTATAAGTCTACCATTCGTTCATGCATTGAATATTGCCGCCACATCTTGTTTGGTGCTTCTGCTATGTGTTTAGGGATTTTTAATAAATACAAAGAAAGAATCTGCAATGTTTTTTGCCCCTCACATAGCATTCTCGATTGCTTCAGTTATAACACTGAAAAAACCGTAACGTAGCTCAGCTGTGCCTTTCATACTTTCATGGTAATTGTTTGGATGAACTATTCACGATGGTTGGAATGAAAACATTTATGAATTTAACACAGTACTAGATTATCAATTTACAGTTCAAATGTGGAGATCTAACCGTAAGTTCTATGCTAATAGTTTCTTCTATGGATCTTAATTTTCGCTTGTGGAACTCTCTCTCTCTCTCAAATTTTCCTCTCTCTCTCTCTTCCTCATTTCTCTATGGATATTAATTGATTTTCATTTTAATCTTCAAAAATTTAAACGCAATGTTAACCGTTATCTTCTATCTTCTTAATTCCTGTTCTCTTACACTCAATAACCCCTTGCAACTTTATTACCTTGCTTGGGGTGAAATTATTAAAAAATTTTAAAGTGGAAATAGAAGAATAGTTAACGAGACCAGGTCATATTAATAAGTAAACAATATAAAATAATATTGACTGGTACCTGTATATGGGATTTGATATTCTTTTATTGTTCTCTCGCTTTATTAATATTTTTCCATATTCTCTCACACTCAATAACCACCTTGTGTCTTAGCCTTATGGTCTTCCTTGGTGTGAAATGATAGAAAAAAGAAGTTTTGACCATGATTAAATTTCCAAGACACTATTGCACTAACAAAAATTATAGACAACATTTAAACAGTTTCTAACTGTTATCATCCATTAGCCGAAAAGTTCTGGGTATGACGATAAACTACATCCGGCAGCAAGACCTCTGACCGGGAGATTGGAGGTTTTGAGGAGTGTGGAACCACCTTTTAATTGCTGTTGTTCCCTTGTTCACCCTGATCTGGTCTGGTAGCATTTTTTAGGGTCCCTGCTATGGGTAAATAGTAAAACCTCTAACGCACAAAAGCAAAACACTATTAAAGTATAAAAATATTTTTTGTAGTAAAAAAAGCAATACATTTTATTTAAAAAATTACCAACAATACATATTTATAGTGAAATAAACAACAGTACATTTTATCTGTAGCTGAAAGCATACGATTGCGTTCAAAATATATTTAGTTGAAGCCATAAAATTGTGCTCCAAATATTTAGATTTCGGCATTAAGTAAGCCATATGCTGCTAAAGAAAGTCAACCAACCAATTAGGCGAAAAGAAAGGATATCACAGTTCATCACATAGAATTGGAAGGAACGCATCAAAAATAATCCCAGAATCAAGCAAGTGAAATGCAGGATTTATATTGAAATGACGATGTTGCTTTGAAAGGAAAAAAATACACTACCAAAACAAAAGATTCAAATACTCGCGCCTCTTCTTCCACATTTTCCAGACATGTCACCAAATCATTAATTATTTTAGTTGCATGATAAATCTCATCAACACGTTGCATGAATAACTTTACAAAAGCTCAACGAGATGGCGGTTTCAATGATCTGTCTCGTCCACTATTTTCTCCACACCTGTCACCAACTTAATTTAAACCTCTTTGTTCCATGATAATACTCATTTACACTGGGCACATATAATATGAGCAGACCTCAATGATATTGCTTTCAAAATTCGTCTTTGTCTTCCATATTCTCCAGACTGTCTCATGATAACACTCATTCACATATTGCTTGAATCTGACAAGGAAAGCTCAATGCTACGAGCGTGGAAGCTGTTCCTCGTTTACCATAGCCTGCCAGATGATCTGTAACCATCTGATTACTATTTTTTTTTCAAATATTTACAGAACGTTTTAAAATTAAAAATGGTCACTTTTTTTATAAAATGCAGCTTTTTTAAAGAATTTTTGAGTCCTTCATCTTACTTCTCGTTAGCAAATCTAAATAAGAAGAGTAGATTCAATGGTTTGGGCTTGATTGATAATGTTCCTTGCAAATTGAATGATAATATTCCTTTTAAAATTATTGATAATGTCCCTTGTAAATAGATAACGTTTATTTCAAATTGACTGATAATTTTTCCTTTCAAAATAATTGATAATATAGCTTGTAAAGCAATAACATATATTGTAGATTGACTGATTTTAAATGATTCATAATGTACCTTGTAAATGGATAACGTATATTGTAAATTATCTGATAATATTGCTTTTAAAATGACTGATAATGAAACTTGTAAATCAATAACGTATATTGTAAATTGACTTATATTTCTTTTAAAATGATTCATAATGTATCTTGTAAATGGATAACGTTAATGGTAAATTGGATGATAATATTCCTTTTAAAATAATGTTCCTTGCAAATGGATAACGTTTATTCTAAATTGACTGATAATATTCCTTTTAAAATAATGTTCCTTGCAAATGGATAAAGTTTATTCTAAATTGATTGATAATATTCCTTTTAAAATAATGTTCCTTGCAAATGGATAACGTTTACTCTAAATTGACTGATAATATTCATTTTAAAATAATGTTCCTTGCAAAACGTTGACTGCTGACCTGAGATGGAACAAATACATTGAGTCAATTGCTTCTTCCACCGCGAGGAAAGTTGGCTCTCTGTGCCGCGCCAGGAATTTTTTCTCCCCTGAATCGATACTCCAAATATACAAAACAACCATTCTCCCTTGCATGGAGTATTGCTGTCATATATGGGCTGGAGCACCTTCTGCTTACCTCGGAGTTCTTGACAAGATCCAGAGACGGATATGTAATCTAATTGGCCCTGATCTAGCGTCTCGTCTGCAGTCACTCTCTCACAGATGTGCCGTCGCCTCTCTCTGTCTTTTCTACAAATACTTCCATGGTAATTGCTCTGATGAGCTGCTTTCACTGGTTCCCAGACTCCATGAATTCAAGCGCCCTACGAGGCTGGCATCCCGCTCCCACCTTTACACCGTAGAAACTTTCAAATGTAGCCGTCTCTTCTACTCCAATAGCTTCATACCTCGCACCGCTCGCCAGTGGAACACCCTTCCCAATTACTGTTTCCCTGAAAGCTATAATCTCCAACTATTAATGTAATGTCAATCGACATCTCCAGTTACCTTGATCTACCCACTATCCTTCTCCTCATCCTTTCTTCTATCACTCCTATCTGCTCTCGCTCCAAATCTTCCGCAACCCCCTGCATCCTAGTGGCTTCACGCCTTGCTTGGGGCGTAATGCTTAAAAAAAATGGATAAAGTTTATTCTAAATTGACTGATAATATTCCTTTTCAAATAATGTACCTTGCAAATGGATAACGTTTATTCTAAATTGAATTGATAATATATAAAATGATTGATAATGTATCTTGTAAATTGAACTATAATGTTCATAGTAAACTAAGTGATAATGTTCCTTATAAAATGATTGATAATGTTCATTGTAAATCAATCTGCAGATTATTCATAGCAATATTACACAATTTTCTCTACTTTGTAAACAATGTAGGTTTTTAATGCTAATGTTCTTTCAGAACGAAGTCGTATCATGGTTCTCCACATAGTCCTGTGAATTATCATGCCTTATTGGTAAAGATAGTGGAATTTTTTCTGTTACTTTCTCTGCAGTTTCACAGTTACTTCTCCAGTTTTGGAATGTGGATTTGAGAATCGGCCAATTTTACGAGTGTCCCAGGCGATACTAAACGTTAAATCTGCCGCTGGTCCGCATTAATTAAAATTGGTTAGGAAAAACAAATTCTACAAACTAAAGGATTATATGGGATGTATTTTTGATAATCTTTAAATAGTGGGGGGGGATTCTAGTATCCGTTAATTAATTTTCTAGTTTTTCTTGGATAAAAAAAACACAAAAAGAGTGTGTAGCATCAATCATCCAAGTTCAGTGGGCCTGCGTCGAAATTCAGCGCCTACCATGGAACGATGGCTTCAAGCGGGATTTCTTAGATGATATCTCACGTATAGGGAATTTGACCCATATTGGGGACCCATTTTTCAATCAAAGTTGATCATTTTTATACAAAACTATACAATGTTCGAGAGCCACTCAAGATAGAGGTTTACTGAATGTGTGTGAAATGAATGTTAGAGAAGATGGTAAGAAATGAAGTTTATGTGGATAAGGAGAATAAATAACGACTTGAAGTGGTTAAGTAGTATTCAGTGAAGCACCCACGAGGGAGTGTGTTCCATGAAGTAATATTTCTTGGGTAAAAAGTTGTCTGAAAAAAACTTTCTGCTTAAATTTTAAATAGAGAGGAAATGAGGCTGATTCGACTCTGTGGACGTAGCAGGACGTATCCTAGGACTAAACTAGTAGAAGAGCGAAGCTCATTTGAACATTAAAAATGTCCATTAGTAAGCAAAAGAAATCGAATCTCGCTCTGCCCCGTTTCTCTTGTGCCAGACGAAGATAGGTTTTGTAAATAACAAGCGAATAAAGTTAGTAAATCTTTACCGGGCGAGCCGTGACACCCGTCAATGTGTTCGTCAATAATATATGCTCCATGAGCCCCAAAAAAACATCATGGGAAATGAAGCCAGTCAAAAAGTTCAGTCATACGATGCGATGAATCGGTGCCGGAAGGGCGGAGATAAAGGGTAGGCTTGCCAGCGACATAAACCCCACATCACAGACCACCTTCATCCAACCAACTACTTCTTGCCCTACCCTTTCTCCACAAACAAAAACAAACTAACGACGTAAAAAAAAAAAAATGATGGCGGCGCTTACACCGACGATCATGGCGGGAAGTTGGAGGGAAAAAAACAAATACGCCGTCGCTTGCAGCCAACTTGTCCCTCGTTAAAACTTACTCACCACTTACAAATTTCTTTCTTTTCCGCTTTTTATTTTTTTTTAATTTTTATACTTTCAGCCGGATATTGTTGCTATTATTATTATTAACAGCAGAGTACCCATCAAAAATGACGAGATTATTTCAGAATGGATTAGTTCTACACTACACTTCTGCCTAGAATCAAAGTAGCATGTGTACAGTCTATTAATAATAATAATAATTTTTACTGTTAGTTCTCCCAATACGAGGCTCAAGAGCCACTCGAGATAGAGTGTTACTGACCTAGATTGTTGTAATGCAGGGAAAGGGGGAATAAAGAAGTGTATATTATTAAGATGTACTGGATAGATATCAGTCGACTCTGAACTTGAAAGAATCAAAACTGTAATTGTCAAGGAAGCACCCTCTCGGGAGTTTGTAAGTGTCCTGGGGAAGATGCTCTCTGGGTGAAATTTACCCCTTATCAAAGGAACACGAAGGGAGTGGAGATGATTTGCGACCGTGAACATGGCATGGAAGAGGATCCTAGTTGTGAAGATCTGAGCTGGTGAATGTAAAGAATTTAGTGAGAGGCTAGGGATGTTTCGTTTATGTGATAAGGGTGTGGCAGGGTGGAGAAGAAGAATTCATCAACGCTGGATATATGATGGCTTCGACATACAGCTCATCAGTGCGACTAGACAACCGAATGCTTCAAGCCAGGATCGAAACCCGACCGATTTGGTATCAGTCGAAGTTTCTACTGTGCTTTGTCTATCCTTTAAGCCACACGAGTTGCTCCTAACCTATAGATCTTGTAACCCTGTCCGTTCAGACGGTGTCCCTTAGTAGCTACATTTGATTCATAAATCACTTCAGCGCCTTCATCCTCCAAACAAAAAAAAATCAACCCTCTCGACGACAACCGTTCATGATACTCCCTCTCATGAACTGATACACACAGTGCACCAGCACCTAAGGAACATACCCAAATCGTTAACAACAAGTTTGTCGTCCAGAATGGGATATTTACTGTAGCCAAGACAAACACGCACATGTTAAAACTTCCAAACGATTGTCATGATTGATGTGTATTTTTATTTTATTTATTTATTCAATTTTTTTTTTACTAAGTGTTCAACCAATGCAAGGCTCGTGTGTCACTTAAGATAGAGGACTACTAAATTAGCTTGTGGTATGAACGTAAAAGAATGAGTTATGAAGTGCGGATTATGAGGATAAAGATTGATCCTTGACTTGAAGACAAGATTGTAGCGCTTCGGCAGAGAGAAAGACGAATGTGTGTGTGTGTGTGTGTGTGTGTGTGTGTGTTATATTGACGCATCAAGAATTTATCTAAACAAGTTTTGTTCAATTCAATGTTTTATTTCTTTTTTTTCCAATTTTCGAATAAGGTGTACATCGAGATCAAAATTGCAAATAAATCGTTCGAAGTTTATGCATTGTTTTTTTTTTGTTTTTTTGTTTTTTTACTTTCGGCTGTGTCAGTCATTATCAAGAACTGGGTTGTTGTCAGTGTTGTAGACAAGATTTACATTGTATTTTATATGCGTAGGTTGTAATTCTTGTACGAGTTGAGTTTTCTCCTTTCACATTGTGGTCCTTTGTGGAGATCAAGTCACAACAAAGTCATTTTTGTATTCCAATAACTCTTCAAGTCGTCTTCAAAAAAATTGTCGTCTGTTTGGTTTCAAATTTTTCTCAGATCCCCAAACTTTTGCTATGCATTTTACGGATCCTTCCGAATGCTCCAACAACGGTGGGCACTACTATCAATTTAATAATCCACCATTTTATTCATTTCTCTAGCAAGATCTCGGTAATTGTACGGCTTTTCATTTTCTTGCCATTTTGCTCTGTCATGTGTTGAAACCGATAAATCATTGACCAGACAAACTTTCTTTACCTTCATAGATCTGTTTTGATGGCCATAAATGGGTGATCCGTTTGAATATCAGAGATTTTCTTCTTTTTTTTTTCTTTTTTTTTTCGGAAAGATTTGGGTTTGTACGGATACATTTCCCATTAGGCATATATCTGTTGGCAATATCTGGAAGTCAAGTTACATCAAGTCTTTTTATTCTGTCTGATTTTAGTAATGCTTTCGTCTGGATTTTTTTCCAATCCCTTTTCACGCTTCCTCAAAACGGTTCTAAATGCGCATCTCTCCCTTTTCTGTTCAAAAATTTTCATCAGTTCTCTGATAATGTCCAAATTGTCTAGCATTTAAATTCGCTCTGCGGATTGCGAGGTCATCGACGTCTCCTGACAGATCGTTTTCGCTTACAAAGACGAAATCTTGTCTTCGAATTTATTGATTCTTTTGAATACCAATATTCTAACGAACTTTTTTTTTTCTCGGACAAAATCTGGTCTGTAGATATGTCATTGTTTGCACAACTACCAGTGGATTACCGTTCCCACCCAATCATGCGTATTTTGTATAGCTGCTTAAAACTTTTCTGTCTATGATTATTATGTGATTGATGGTCTCATTTTTATCTCCCTAGAAGCGATAGGGTTAGTAATTTGCTGTGGAGTATTATTATTATTATTATTATTATTATTATTATTATTATTATTATTATTGTGCTTTGTCTTATCTTTAAGCCATACGAGTTGCTTCTACGGTTGCATTTGTCTTTGCTTTCTTTTTTAAGTATTTTCAGACGGTATACTGTGCTTTACTTGTATTTCTGCGCCCATTTGAAACTCCATTTTGTACTTGTTGGCTTCCTTTATTACGGAGTAAAGACGCTTACTCTTTTCATGTTCCTTGACACATACCATCATCCAGTATTCTTTAGTTTCCAAGTATCTTTGGAGGCCAAGTGTTGTAGTTTTGTAGGTCACTTCTAGTTGAACTAATCCTCTGCCTCCTGGGCACATACAGACGATCAACATCAGCTTTGGGATGATGCATGCGATAGCAAGTGAGAAGCTTTCTCGTTTTGGCGTCCATTCGCTTATAGTCCAGTTGAGGATATTAAAGATGTATTGCACCACAGAGACAGCCAAAGTGTTTATGGCTGATATCCTGTTTTTTGAGTTTAGCTCAGTATTTAGTACCAGACGTACACACCTGTAGTACTCCTTTCTTACCTCCTCCTTCATTTGGGGGTGTTGTATGCCATCTCCTTCGCTAATTCCTAGATATTATTATTATTATTATTATTATTATTATTATTATTATTATTATTATTATTATTATTATGTCCAGATATGTCAACCACCAGTTACTTGAGGTGAGAACATTCAATAAATTAGTTTATATATTGTTGAGATGTTGAGTGTTTCCGCGTGCGTGTATTGAAATAAGGACAAACACATACGTAGGGAAAAATACTGGTATATCTGAAGAGGTATTTACAACAGAGAGATTAGTAGTCAAACGAACGCAGGTTAGTCAGTAACAATCAGAAAGAGTATAAAGTCCAACTGTATCTTCCGGTAGAGAGACGGAAGTGTGATGGTCACCTGATCTTCCCAGAACTCTATAGAACTGTCCTATTAGTAGTAGAGAGATCAGTCCATTCTGATGAGAAGGTGGGTGCGCCCCAACACATATCTGGTCTGGAGCTGCCCAGATCTAACTTCTCTGGCCGTGGTAGATATTAAAGTTTAGGAAGTTTCGTTAATATTCATGTACCCTTTTTTCGCATTTTACTCGTTTTCATTAAAACTGTCATTTGAATGATCGTAACATTTCCCCAAATATTAGTTCCAACGCCATTTTTTCTCGGCTTTTCAGGACTTTATATAATGTTCCCATCAGACAAACTTTCATTATTTTTATTCACTAATTCACCTGGTTTAGTTTTAGTCAGAGAAAATTTCATTAGACATTTTTCGGCATTCTTGACAATTCCTCGATTATTTACCCCCTTCCAATTGCAGATCTTTGAAACAATTTCCTAAGGCACCAATTATAGATACGATCGGAACATTCATGTTGTCCTTCTTCGTCTCTCGCGCGTAATCCTGGTATTTTTCTTTTCTTTTTTTTTCTTGGATTATTATCCTAAGTTATTACATCCACTGAATTTAATCGTTTTTACCGGGGATCAAGTGACAACAAATCTCCTCATTTCTCTGGTTATCATCTTCTTTAGTAGTCAATCTGATTTTCGTCTGGATCTGGCTTCATTTCTTCCTTGGTTTCTAATTCATCAAAACTCTTTTTTTCGAAATTGTTCTAAATCTGTTAGAACTTATGCGTACAATTTCCAGATTCATTTTCTTTTCTCTTGCATCGTCCAGACATTTTTTCTAACTTCCACCCTTTTATTCAGTTTTACTCTGGAATACTGACATCCCCTGACGAATTTTATCCTTTTTGGCGTTGACAAGATCCGGTTTTCTCGTCTGGATTGGGCGATCCATTTGAATGTCAAATAATAGCAAATGATTATTATTATTATTACCATTATTATTCATATCAGCCATATTCAATATATTAATACAATTCTTTTGCTTTTATCATATTTTTCTTCTTCTTCTTCCACGTCTTCTTGTTTTCTTTTTCTCATTTTCCTTCTTTTATCTTCTTCTTCTTTATTTATTATTTCCTTTATTTTATTTTATTGCCGCCATTTTTTTTCTTCCTTTTTTATTTGATTAGCGATTAGATATTTTTCTTGCCTCCCTCGTCCAGCAAGTGGGGAGTGGTCGTGCTTTGATTAAGGTCTTTGCACTAATTATATTTTATATACCGCCAGGTTGCAGACATTTCTTTGAAGCTAATTATAGTGAAGCGGTTTGCCAGGCCGGGTAGGTGAGTATGGGCAAAGAGGGAAATGAACTGGAAGAGAAAATGGCG